AACAATTTGTAAATGACAATCTAAACTTTAAGATTAATAAATTATTTTCAAATAATATGCAATATATAATTTGGTCAATGATATAAGTTTGATTTGAACTGAATATTTTAATTCCAGTCTCTAGCTATGAAAAATACGAAATGTATACAAGTAATGAGAACGAAAATGTATATCTGCATAAATTCATAAAAACATAAAATAGGTTTTCAACTATGAAAATTCAATTTTTAATAATTACAATTATTGTATGATGATATTTTGAAGTTGATCGGACAAAGTAGGGGGAGGGGGCTGACAAAATTTGCAAAATAATTCGCCAAAATTACAATTTTGATTTGCAAATTTTAAAAGTGAATTTGCAATTATTTGCAATTAATTTGCTAAATATTGACGTCGGTTTGGAACGGATCGGACAAATTGAGGGGGGGGCTGAATAAAGTTAGCCTCTCCAAACCTATTTTTTGATTTGTGACTTTTCACTTGATTTGCAAATTCTAAAAATGAATTTGCAATTATTTGCAATTAATTTGCTAAATATTGGCGATGGTCTGAAGTAAATCGTTCAAAGTGGGGGGCTAACTTCATGACTACAATACATTGATGAATCGGAAAATGATTTATTTATATATTTTAGTAATTTAGTAAATTTATAATTTTCGTACAATCAGAAACTTGAGGATGGAGAATTTCATTGTTACATTGTAATATATACATGCAATAAATAAAAAAAAATACAGATGAATAAACCTAACCTATAATCAATTCGTCGTTATTAAAATTTCGATTTGCGTAAAATAAAATTACGATTGTTTAGGATTATTAAATTAAAATTAGTAAAAATACATCAATGAACTGTATTCAATTTTAGAATATTAAGTTTTAAATTTAATCAAATAAAAAATAGGAGCAATAATGTCGGACTTGGTTCAACAATAATTAGTTGTTGTCTAGACTATACTATGAATTATAATTTAATAAATCCTTCTAATTTAAATTATATTAACATAAATTTAAAATGTTTTTAATACAACAAATAGATTTATTATGTATGATTTTATTAAACATTTAACGATTTTCGAGTGCATTAAAAAAAACCAATATAAATTACAAATATGGTCTTATTAAAACGCCAGTTATAATTATATTTCATTTTCAATCCATTATCAGACTCAAAGGAAATTTTGTATCTTGTTTTAGTATTAGAAATAAAAATATCTAACATGAATATGTGATTTTCATTTGATATTTATAAACATAAAACTGTAACTCAACTAAATAAACTCTTTAATTTAATCTAAATTAAAAAATCAATCAAACATATGCATTTTGCCGAATTAACAAATTCAATTTCCTTTTAAAACAGAACTAATATAATCAAATGCCAACAGGATAAAAAACAAAAGTTATAGCAAAAATATTTATACATCGTTACAATTTCAAGGTATTCTCAATATTTCTATAAAATATTCATGTATTTTACAGAAATAATAATTATTATACAAAAAATTTTGTGGAAAAATAAATTTATAATTTGTAAATATTTTAACGAATCCGAAATTCATATGTTTCATGACAAAAATAATATTCGTTAAGGTCGGAATAGATTTAAATACGATTTGATAATCGTAAATGAATTATTCTATCCTTTATTCGAGGTTTGATGTTCAAAACGAACATGATATTACATTATATGCATACATAAATACGCATGGGCGTCGTAAACATGTTTTACAGATCCATTAATATGTCATGGAAACAGTATAATATTATGATAGTTGTACAGCCGTAAAGGAAATATCACATACAGTAGCAACTGGATTTTCTAGAATTTCATATCTAAAATAACAATTTTTACGACGATCGAAGAAACAAAAATTAAATTTATCCCGAGCGGTGTTTCCTATTACAGAACTCAATGTTTTCAATCGTACATATTACATGTATTGCTATTTTATTATGATACACACATGGTATAATATAATGTCGGCGTACACTCAATACACATTAAACACGTTTTATTTTATTAGTTATTACATATGATATTATACTAATGTACCTAATGTTTATACATTATATGCACGGCGTACACCGAGCTAATAAGATGTTCAGAGATGAACTATACATCTCTACTCTATGAATTCGATAAATAAATGGGAACTAACATAAAGAATTTTACGAAAAAGAATAATATTCATTGAAAATGTATTTAGTATTATTTGAATTAATACAATTATTATAAATATTATTTTCACCAAGTCTAGCATACATTATTTATCTATTTAATTTTTCGTATTTTCATAGTAACTCGTTCAGTACGCGTTTATACACGCATACATTTTATGTTATTACGTATTAGACACTCGTTTAAATATATAATATTATGTTGATCGAACAAAACATTTGGTGTCCGTGATGACATATGTAATGGTAATAATATTTCTGCAGCGACATCATCTCGGTGGGTGGCTCTCGGCGCAAAACGTTATTTGTCGTCGAGCGGCGATAAACGCTACATAAATTTCACCCTTTGGTGGAGAAAAAAAAATTCTAAATGTCGTTTAAAGGAAAACAAATCGTCAACACCGTCTCGTTCGTCCCTCTCGTTACATGCATAACACTATATTATACCATGCTCGAAAATATATACCATTGTACAGACGCGTACGGATCCGACTAGGGATCGGTGTCGTGAGGACGACAAAGAGCACCGCGTAGTTCAAACAAGTCGGTTTCTTTTGACAATATTCATCATCGGAACCTTTTTTTTTCTTCACCTGAATGATTTACAAGTGTTGCATAACATGATTTCTTTGGGTTTCCCGTCTCTTTCCTTCTTCCAAAACCGTTGTTATACTTGCATCTACATCGTTAACACACGATAATACATAAAAGACGAAATAATACCGGCTTTCTCCAAAACTACCCAATCATAATGGACGCAAAAATGACCTAAAGTCATCAATGTCCTGACACACACATACAAACGTATGAATACTAGAACTGGTATAATGTTTTCTTGATAATAATACAATAACTTAATACTTCGCACACATAGGTATAATTTCTCAGACACGGAAATACAGCTATAATGGTAAACTTTACCAAAACGTTGCCAGGCAATAGTCCGTTTTAGACTGTGATGACAAATATACCAACCGAAATTCCTTGTAATCACTGACATTTTTCCAAGTAAACCCTTTTATTTTTTCCTTTTTATATCCTGTACAATACTCTTATGATCATTGGAAATGTGCGTGTAAATTCGTAAACCATCTTCCAAAAAATGAATTATTCACTGCAAGTATAACTGATAATACAATGCGGCTTTTTCAAAAGTAAATCCTCATTCATTCATATGCCTTTTGATGCATTTTAAGTCGCATTTTGTGTACACATTAAAACGATGAATGGATATGATTTAACAGATGTGTGAAATCGGCCTAAATAATACACGCACTGATGTCTATTATTTATATAATTACACACGAATTTTGTATTTTGATAGCTTAAAAATTATACCAAAAAAAAATAATGATTCAGTTTTATTTAATACTAATTATAAGTATAATGTTATAAAATACATGGGCGTTCAAAGGAGTGATAAAGTAAATATCTCCTAGTATTTATCTGTGTAAATTATTTAAATAATGTATAAGTGTTTTTGTAAAACGATATCATTCTATACGAGTATAAAATATTAATTTATTTATATTTACTACAGATTTTTATGTAAAAACAAAGTATTCAAAATACGAATATAAATAATACGTAACGTTGCTATAGTTTTAAATAATGATTTAATATTATTGTTAATGAATTACTTTGTGATCTTCATTCATTAGCGTTTTGCATTTAATTATAATTAATAATTAACTCACTCTAATCAGGGTAGCAACAATTATCTAGTTTCAATTCAAATATGTTTTTATAGACAGTCGTAATATCATTAACTATAAAGAGGAAATTATAATTATATATTTTAACTTTTATAAATAGTATTTTATTCGCACCGTAGTACACATACACGTGCCTACACGTACACGACACATTTATAAATTATTTTATTTTACTTTATTATCTTATTAGCGTGTTTTTACATCTATTCATGTGTATAATTACATACAATATATGTATAGATACGATTTATGTAATATAATTAAAAAATTTCCAAGCATTTCAATTCCATACATAACTTAATCTGCCCGTTTCGAACAATATTTATAAAACACAGTAATAATATAATATATGATGGAATTATAATACGTATATAATATATGAATATAAAATTAAAACAAATTTATTTTATACACCTCTAAAAGCTTAACCCTGTAGATGTGAATTGCAAACATCTTATAGTTTAACCTATAGATATCATCCACAAGTTACGACCTCCATTCACCTGTCGAATTCCCGGCACATAAAAAAACCATTATTCAGCGGGTCAGGTTAATTTTTACAGGTGTCCAGGAACTTTAAGTAAAATTTACGATATTTTTATTTTTTTGACATAAGACCGGTTTAACGTTTTAAGAAAGGTGTTGAATTAGAGGTTTTATTTATTTTTGAAATAAGTCTAGGACTTTGGTTGCGTATAATTGAACGTTTCGATATCATATAACGTACACGCTGTATCAAATAAAATATCCTTTTCGTTTGAGTTAGGAATACCGGATTGAACCACCCTCGTAAATGTTTACACACGTCCGTGTTCATCGCACGTAACGTGTGCGTCACCATGGGCCGAATTGCGTTGCGCGCACTTTATACGATATACGTCAAGGATCAGATTTAGAAAGGACGAAGAGGTCCTGCGGCTCGGGGCTCTGCCGGTGCCGTAACCGTTTAACAGCAAAAATACGAATGTTATTGGATGTTCCGAACGAAAATATTTATACCGATAGTTTATTCTCGCGATCAACGCTTGCCCAAATTCGCCCCCTCACACACGCGTGTATGTAATTACCTTTATATGTTAAGGAACACAAGAGATTTACACGCACCTGGTTGCGGACGGTCCTGGTACTCGACCCTTTTCATCCAACCGTACGGGCTCACGCGTCCGGTACCGGTGGGCGACGTCTGGTGTTGGACGGGCGGCCAATACTTGTAATCGTTGGCTGTCTGGTAAGCGGCCGCGGCCGCGGACGACGGTTCGTCCAGAGACGTGCCGGGCGACAAGCACGTGGCCGTCGCGGTGGACGTGGCCACCGGGTTGTAGGCCGCGACGGCCTGCAAAGTGGCCGTGGTCGCGGCGCCCGCGGGTTGATGGTGCGAAGACGGTGGCGGCGGCGGCGGCGGCGGCGGCGGTGGCGGGGGCGGTGGCGGTGGCACGTGGTGCGCGTGATGGTACACCAGCTCGTCCGGATACGACGGCCGGCGTTTGTTGTAGACGACCGTCGGCCAGACCGCGTAACCGCCACCGTCCGCGGCCGGTTGATGGTGATGGTGATGGTGCAACAACGGTTGGGGCGGCACGACGGACATCCCGTGCGGATGATGTTGAAGATGATGATCCTGTTGCTGCAGCTGCATATGCTGCTGCTGTTGTTGCTGCTGTTGCTGATGCTGTTGCTGATGCTGCTGCTGGTGCTGCTGCTGCTGCTGTACGTGATGGTTGTGGTGATGGTGATGGTGGTAACCCGCGGCGGCGACGGCCGCCGCCTGATGGCCGTACGCGGTCCACGAACCGGCCAACGCGTTGGCCGGTTGCGGCGGCTCGGCGGCGCACTCGTCGCCGCCGTTGCACTGCACGGGCATGATGCCCCCGTGGTGGTACGCGGTACCCTGTTGTCTGCTGCACACGGTCACCGGCTCGTTCATTTTTCGTCGGCCGTCGTCACACGGTTCTCACGTCGTCGTCGTCGTCGCCCGGACCGTCGCCGCGCGCATTCCTCTGCGTGACCGTCGCGCGCCCGGACCGGTACCGACGGTGTCCGAACTGGATTCAGGCACTGCGGACGGGCATCGTCGTCCGCGTGCAACATAGGTGTGCGTGGACGGGCGCGTCAGCGGTCTGTTCGAGCCGGACGGCGGTGCCCCGAACTGATCGCGGCGAACGGTGAGAGACGGACGCGCGCGTTTTTCGACTCGAGACGGTCGACCACCGCGGACGGGAACGCGTTGACGGTGTTCGGCGCGCGCGCGATACCGTTGACGAGCGGCCAAGCCGGTACGCGTACGGGGACGTTTACGCGCGTACGCGTTAATAAATTTAAAAAACAAAGTAATGATTCCTGCGCCGAGGTGCGACGGACGGGTTTGTGTGCGTGCGTAAGCCGCGCGTCGTGCGTGCGTTTGCCGACATCCGTGTGTGCACGTAAACGCGCGAGTACGCGACGAACCCGATGAGCGCGGTGTGTACCGGGCACGGTAAGTGTGTACTTAACGTTTAGGACACGCGATCGATTACGACTGATGAGGTGCGGTCGCGCGCGCTCGGGATTCGTGTGCGAGGGACCGACGGGCGGCGGCGGCCGAACGAAACGGGCGTGCTCGGGCCACTCCCGCCGCGTCGAACGTCGGCCAATTGCAGCCCGGCCATCGGCTGTCGCGCGCGGTCCGCCGCGATCCGTAATGTCCGCGCGTACCGCCGCCGCCTCGGAGGTTTAAACAGTAATAACAACAACGACGCGTTTCCCCCCCTCCCACCGCTCCCACCCAACGTCCGCCGTTACGCGTACAACGCGTGCCGCGCGTGCAGTGGGTCGCCGATTTCTCCGGTGCCGCCGCCGATAAACAATATTATTCCCGTACGGCGACACGATTTTCATTTCCCGGGCCCTCGCGTTCGCGCCGCGAACGAACGCGTCGAAACGTCGCCGTAACCCGTTACGGAACCATTAATGTTCGATCTTCGTCCCTTCAAGCACGGCTCGGACGGCATTGGGTTTCGCGTTACAATGATGTATCGCGTACGATTTATTGTTCTACGAACGAACGTGCACGGCGGTTTTCGCGTAACAAACGAAATACCGCGATTCACGTCGTGAACTAACAATTATGCCCACCCGCGCGCGGATACATTTGTCCGTCGCGCGTTCCTGTACTTGTAAATATTTGTGTGTTTAAAATAAAACGAGTACGTCGTATGAGTATAGGGAGTGTTCGCGCGAAACAGAAGAAACACGCGTAACGCATGGCGGCACGTTAGCGACAGATCATTTTTTGAATGATCCACGTCGACCGATAGACAATTATTTGTACGCGTAAACATATGCAACGTAATAGAATTGCACGAACCATAAGATATGAATACATATCGATAAAACTATGTTACGAATGTTACTAATAATTATTACATGTATCTATCAACTCCGTCGGCCGCGACATATGTTAACTGTACTTAACTTGCCGACGAATCGGACTGACTCGACGAAAGAGAAATAATGTTCACTTGCGATTGAAAATCGGACACTGAAATGGTATACAATTATTTGCTATTTTGTAGATAAGAGATACTAGTTACTAGTTGGATAGGTACTAACCTTAACGGTTTTATCCGGTTTTCACAACTCAGTAATAGTTTTGACTGATTATTCAGCCACTCACTGTGCAATAATTTGTCCTAGCAATGTTACCAGACGGTTTCAATAAAACATGGAACATCGCAATTTTTGTTAATTTTGCGTTAAAGTAACGTCTATGTGACCATTAATGTTCCGCCTTGCTGTCTTTCAATTAACGTCCTTTAAACATCACTCTAAAACATCCATCCAACACTATAGTATACTATAAAAAAAAAAAAATTATATATCCCTAGAGAGGGGTGTGATTCGAATTTTGTACCATGCAAACCTATTGACCTATAAGGACCTAACTCTATCGACCTACCTACTAACATTACAATGCAAAGTAAAATGAATGTTTATAAACAATAAAATCAGAAATCCAATAATTTTAAAATGTATGAATAATAGCATTAATTATAAATACGTATATATACAATTAATATTTATACGTTAATCATTAGCAATAATAGTAACAAATCTATAATAATAATTATTTTAATATTTTTTTTAGATCCCTTCTTTATAAAATTTAATAATTTATCCTTCCAAATTTTAAAGACTTGAATTATATGATTTTTGTCTAAAAGAGCTGATATTATCTAATGAGCCATGAGTAATTTCAAACATAGGAAAGTGATTGAAAATTTATTGAATTGTACGTATAAATACGTAAAAAATTGTGAACCATGTAAAATACCATAATCAGTAACAAATGTTTTAAGTGATGATTTATAATTATATTTTTGACAAGTTTCAGGACATGCTGAAATTCGAATGAATTCATACAAAATTACAAAATTAAGTATTTATAAATAACCTAATCTAGTATATTTGGATGACAAATACGTTAAATCTTATCTCCTTTTTCATTATTATAAACACTGATACTGCCGATGCCCGCGGCGGCTATAATATAGTTGAGTGTTATACATAAACATAGTAATCTTATAAAAAGTGTTGTGCTTATCACAGATGTTTCAAATATAACTTAAAACCGACATCGCTGGGATGTTGAAAACATCAAATGTTTAGTGGCATATTATTATTAAGTTTGTACGCGTACACTTTTATATGTTCAAAATTAATGATCTTCAATATATACTTTAAGAAAAATTATCAACATTTTTTTTTATACATTTTGTAGATAGTGTGAATTAAGGTATTTTCATATTAAATTACATTATCCTTAAAAACACAGTAATTTTAAAGATCAAAGTAATTTACAAGTTAATCGTGTAATATGAAATTACATTTTATGTTCAGCAAATATCACGAAATTGCTTATGCCACGAAAATACCTTACTTCACACAAACTACGGTTTAATAGAAAAAAATAATGATTTTATAATCATTGCCCCGCTTTGCACAGAGTTCAAAATTAAAACAATTTTATATTCGATTAGTACCAATACAGACTAAATATAAAATGAAACATACATCTCATGTTTAATATAATATTGTATTAGTTCACTGTTAATAAATATTAATAACTGTGTTAGTAAATCTAAGAATTTAAATGAACTCAAGAGTACACATTTTGAAAATCAAACAAAATTTGAAAATTCAGTTTATTAAATATGAATAATATGTCATTACCGTTTATCATGAGGCGGGGTTCATTATGTTCGTCCGTTGTCCTTTGTTATTTCGCTAATGACTCTGAATTTATAGTTTTCAATATGCCTCAGAATACCTGTAAACACAATTTATCATCAACGTCATCATCTTAGTAGCCGGGGAAAAAAAGTAAATTTAACATCGTCAACCCGATCATTATTTTTCAAATAACTCCTAAATATTTGAATATTCGCACAGAAAAGATAACTACTTTTAACACTACTAATCAATTTCTTGCCGATAGCAAACAGATTGAATTCCACACATCACCCAAGTCATTAAAACCGTTCTGTGTATTTCCACACATATCTCCATCCATCCACCACTGCTGAAAACATACAAAGTTAGCATATCAGATAGTGGTCATGAAGTTTTCGTGTCACAAATATCCTTCATCGTATCAATTAAACTCCCATTGTTTCTTTTACAGACCATTATCTGGGACTTTTAAGGTGATATTTTAAAACTGGACCTGCTTCTACACACTAAAATTAAAATATAGTTTCCGAGGGAAAAACCCGCCCCTTTATAATTCAAAGATTTTCAAGCTTACTTCCATTCAAGTAATTTTTGCCACCAGTCCCCTTGTTATGTCAAATGTGGTGATAACCATTTATCCTTAGAATACATGAAATCACCATAGGATCCCACGAAGTGAACTCAATGCTCGGAGCCGCATACAACTTTCTATTAGGACTGTCTGGTGTACTAATATATCTTAAAAAGTCGTAAAAAACCTAAGGAAGTCAAATTGAATAAACATCCCACTCGCAATACCATCTTCAAGAATTATGATTTCCAATGCTAATATGTAGGGAACGGATTTAAATGCTATAAAAAACAAGAAAAATATCTTAAAAAATACGATTCAATGCCTTAAAAAAATGCTTTAACATCAAAAAATGCACTAAAAAAAATGCCCTAAAAAATTTCAAAAATGTGTTTATATTCAATAAAACACAATTTTGAATTTAAAACTTATAAAAAACACATTATTATGAAAAATCTGATAAAAAATATTTAAATACAGTACAACCTTAATTAATTAACTAACCTTAATTAATTAATTAACCTTAATTAATCTATTATCTTCTTTTTACTCTAAAAAATTAAAAAAATAATAGGTATACAATTTAGATAGGTATATTCGTTATACTCTCACCTTTTGTTTTATAGTATTGTATAATTAGGTGCTGCTTAATATTGTCAGATGTCTTCGATGGTTATCGGCCAGTATTGTTTTGTATCTCGAAAAACTTCGTTCCACGTCAACTGATGTCATAGGTACAAACTTCATATGAGCCATGTCATCGGCAGTTAGTTCTTCAGATATTGTATTATTTCGAGATGTTGCTTTTCCTTTCAAAATATTTGAAATATGTTTCATTGTTTTAAACCCCGAATTTTTTTCAATTACAACTTCTAGTTTTTTTTTTTTTTTTAGTAGATTTTCCGATACTACTGTTGTCTGTTCCGATTTCAATTTGTACTTGAGCAATAATATTAATTTCGTTAGCCAACGATAATCCAGATGTTTCCAATGTAGTAATGTATTTTGCTAAATTTCCATAATTTGCTTTGATAAATATCAAGTTCATATTAGTAATATACCAATATCACCAGCAACACATCCAACACCTGCAACTACACCTGAAAACTCAATCAACAAATTTTTTAAAGACTTTAAAGCGATAATTAATCCTTTAATACTTTTGCTAACCTCCGAATTAAATCGCCTCCTACCATCTTCTCTATCCCCTAAATAATGCCTTAATTATACATTTTGATTATGTCAAACTTACAAATTTCAATACGTTTAATGCGTTCATTATAATTTTGTTATAAAACTTTCTTTTGTTTTCTTTTATCATTATAATTATTGCTGTTATTATTTAGATTATGGTTTAAATTTATAATCTACATTTATCAACATTCGCTATTCGTTTATAAAAATAATGTTATTTTTTTCTTGTTGTATAACATATAAAATTACTACAGCCATAGACTCCTAACCCTACGTTGAGGTTGGACCTTGGCTCAACATCTTTTGAAAATTTAGGATGATGTCGGCCGCTTCATATTAAACCGAAGTTTGGCTGCCAAACCGTGTGAAATATTCATTACAAAATTAAAGCCTAACATCAATATTTTTTGGGAAAAACCACTATTCCCTACCAACCGTTACACAAATTGGACCTATATTCGTACATTGTGGTATTTTTAAATTTTTTTCGTCCGACTACATTTTTAGGGCTTTGACTTCACTGACTATATGACCCGATTTTATTATACACCATCATATATATGCATTGTAATTGTCAAATTTTAAT